AAAATATGCAAACCTATGTTTTGTCACGAAAACTCATTACATCACGTTCATTCCAGATGATGTAAGTTTCTCAAAGTAACCAAGAAATTTTTTGTTTGTTTTACTCTGACACCTCTTTATACAACGATAGCAGACTCGTTTTTATTTTATTAACCTATGACGAACAACTTTTAACTCGTTCAGTAGCGATTCTTACGAAAAGGGCAACACAGTTATCCCTGCATTCAATCCCTGGTAAAAATTGGCGATAGGAGCTGCGTTTCAAAATACCATAGGAATTCTTATGGTCGACTGAAAAAGGCGATAGAAAATCATATAGCTGGCTGTAGAAAGCGGAGCAAATCATATAGCCGGGCTATACGAAGCTATAAAAAAGTATACAGTCGGGCTATAGTTGCTATCGCCGGGCTTTACACTTTATCGCCATTGGCTATGAAAGGCTACCAGAAATTGTGTAGAAATTCGTGTGCTTCGGAAATCATTAAGTTTGATACGGAACTACCTTAATATTTACAAAACACACATTATATTTTCCTTTAAAACATATTTTTCTTTCATCAGTTAAAATGAGAATAGTCCATACAGAGTGTGCAAACATTTCAAAATCATGAGTTGAAAAACGCTGACTCCGCGAGATTAAATATTAGAGCCTAACACAAAGCGGAGCGGCGGCACACTGGCGCCTACAAACCTAACAGGGATACTTCACGCATTGCGCAATGCGTGAAGTATCCCTGTTAGGTTTGTAGGCGCCAATGCGCGTTCCGCGCTCTCTGCCCGCCCGCGGCGCCCCGTGCCACGGCGTCTGAAGCAACTATTTCACACCAGAGGTATTGCACAGTATCATAAGAAATTGAAGGCGCTCCAACATATTAAGAATGACAGGCATCCTTCAAAAGTACGGAGCTTTCCTCGCAACATAAATCAAGATACTACGGCACAAAAAGAGAGCGGTAGTCCAAAAACTCACTAAGTCCTAGTATCCGTATTTAGAAACGTTTGGTATAAACTTTGTCGTCTGGCTGTTGCTTAGTCGCCATCGGCTATAAAAGGCTATAAGAAATTGTACAGCCGGCTACACAAGCTATTGGAAATCTTACAGCCGGCTTAAGGTCTATGGTATTTTGGAACACAGATTCTACTGCCAATTTTTACCAGGCAATACTGCCGTGCTAAGGAAAAACGCCGTATGAACCTTCAGGCGTTGCCAAATTTCCTCCGATATGATACGAATTTAATGGGGAAGTTTTAAATATTTTTCTTCAACATTTTCAGACGATTTTGCTCGCAATTCAATCTAAAACATCTGAAAATTTCAAGGAAGAATATGCATAAATTTTGTCATGAATACCTGATTTATCCGGAGAAATCTGGCAACTTTCGAATGTTCATGCGACGTCATTTCTTAGCACGACAGAAGAGATTCTACTTATTCAACTCTCACAAATTATGGATATTTTTAATGGATCTAAATGCAGGAGGCCCGGTGTTGCCAATTCGCAAAAAAAGAATTCCTCTACGTGCAAGGGGAGCGAGAAATAATGTGAAGAAAAAAGGGCTTAATGTATAAATGTGTAACTGCTTGTTTCGTTTTGATTACAGACAAAAGCTGTAGCAAAAGCCGTAGTTCGTCATTATGTTCGGGCAAATCTCTTGAGCGTAGAAAAAGAAAAGTTTCCAATGATGAGGAAGCAGTCTCCTCCTCCTCCTCGTCGACTCGAAACGAGATTTCCGTGAGTATTTCTAGTTTAACGTTGTTTTTCATTGTCTATACCTGCCCTCATAAAACGTTTTATTTGCTTCATTGCTAAAACAAATCGAATATATCAGCTATATAATCAGTTGGTCATTCCGGTCCCGTGGGCACTATAATGAGTTATGTTATTGTATTGTTGTGAGCTCGAGCTTCCCAGGATTAAAGTCAAGCGTGTCAACTCGGGTTTCTAGCCATTAAGTATGTGTGTGTTGCAATGTTGCATTCTTGGGAGTTCGACTTTAAGAAAACTGCCCTAGTGGCAGCGGCTGTTGGAAAGCGCGCTTCTTAACAACTAAAAAACCCGTTAACAAAAAAAATACACTAAAAAAACATTTTAAGAAAGTCTTTAAAAAAAAACAAAAAAACTTCACGTCTGATAGAATTTACATAAAATTTTGCAAGAAAACTACCTACTATAAATTTCCTTAAATGTATTTTAAATTTTCGTGGAACATTAATGAGCTTCAAAGTACCATTAGACGCATTATAATGTATTATTATGATTAGACTTAATGCATCATAATTCATCAAAATAATTGTGATTTTTACTTCATTTTCTTTCAGAACCATGAGGATAAACAGTCAAAAACTAACCGATCGAGATCCAAGGAGGATAGGTCCTCGAACTGTAGAGAAAATAAGACAGCGACACACGATGTAACTCCTAGTCGTGAACGAGATACGACACGAGAGAGCAAAACCGCCACCAACAACAACATGATCCGTGAAATGAGCAGCAGCAGCAACAACAACAACATAACCCGTGAGATGATCAGCAGCAGCAACAACAACAATAACACTCATACCGTGAGGGAAATAATTGTTCCATTGATGCATCAACTGAGGCCGGTGCATCCGATGCACCGAGGCCCTCCACCAGCACCGTTCTGCATCATGCCTCCACATCGCCAGCCTCCGCCTTTAGGACCGCCACGATTTTTTGGGCCACCGCCATTCCGACGACCGCGTAAGTACCTCCCTGCTACACTATCTCCTTCAAATTTTTCAGGTGAATACTCCCTTCCGCATTAAACAAGACGTTTCACAGCGGAGCGAGTCGAATGGAAGAGGCGGCCGGACATCATGGTGGCCGTCCATAAATCACGTTACCCCCTGATGGAAGGGGGGGGGCTGGCGGTGAGTGACATGTAGGTGACAAAGAGGGAGGGAGGGGTCAAAAATTCATGAAAAACTGGTGTCGTAATTTATGGCGACGACCCCGTATTTGGAAACTTTAAAAATGCAGAACGGCGACGTTTTTACGTAGCCCCACCGGGTTTCAAGGAAAATTTCCAGCATTAAGAAGTCAGCCTTTCAAACGTAGAATGTGACGAAATAAACACCTAAATTCGAGGTTTTAGTCAAAAATTTGGTTAAAAAATTACTCAGAAATGATTGTTGCTATACTTTTTCAATAACCGTTTGCACTCGCGATATTTTTCGGGGTCATCCTTCCTAGAGTACCTGTATAGGGAGAGTAGCGACAGATCGGTTCATGGAGGGCTTAGGGCCCAAAAGTGCAGCCACCCTTCTGAGCAACTTCTAACACACAAAATTTCACTGCCAGCCTACAGATTTCAATTCTAACCAAGATGGCTAAGAATGTACATAAATGAGCGTTCTTTCGCAAAAATAAGTAAATTTATGCAAAAAGTAAACCAAATACATGCTTTCTAAACGACGGTTCGTAACAATTGTATTTGTAAATCGCTCTGGACATTCGAAATTCATAGGTTGGCTGCCCTTTTGGGCCCTAACTTTATTCGCG